GCCATACTGGACGTGGGCTATGTCACCACCACCATGCCTCAGATGCTGGTGCACCTTCTTGCTCGCTCTCAGACTATCTCTTTTGCTTGCTGTTGGCTGCAGATGTATGCGTTTGGTTGCCTGGCCCTGAGTGAGTGCATCATATTTGTGGTCATGGCCTATGACCGATATGTGGCCATTTGCTACCCATTGCGCTACACTGTTATCCTCAGCTGGGGAATGTGCACACGACTGGCAACTGGGACCTGTATTTGTGGTTTATTCTTCTCTCTAATTCACACCTTCCTCACAATGAGGTTGCCCTACTGTGGGCCCAACATTGTCAACCACTACTTCTGTGAAGGTCCCTCAGTACGAAGCTTAGCTTGCATGGATACCCACCTCATTGGGATGTTGGAACTGGTCTGCAGTGTATTTGTGAATGTCACTCCAAGTTGCCTTATTCTAGCCTCTTATATCCGTATTGTCCAGGCCATTCTCAAGATCAAATCCACCAAGGGACGTTGCAAGACCTTCTCTACCTGTGCTTCCCACCTGACTGTGGCCACATGCTTCTATGCTCCGGCTACATACATCTACCTTAGGCCCAACTCCAGCTACTCCCCTGAACGTGACAAGCAAATTGCACTCTTCTATAATGTTTTCACAGCTCTGCTCAATCCTGTTGTCTACAGTCTGAGGAACAAGGACATCAAGGGAGCTTTTCTCAAGGTGATGGGGCATGGTAGGGGGGCCAGTTGAACTGGGATGGTCACGGGGCCTTGAGTAGACTGTTCAATGCTTAGGAAAAGGACAATATCCAATGTTTTGGACACACATTCTACCTTTGAACATTGTACATTTTTTCAATGTGTCCAGTGGAACCATTGTAGAACATGGAAGCAATATGGGCATTTTGATCAACTTGCTCCATTGTGATGTAATAACAAGCAACTTCATAATCACCTGTGCTTCCCAGCTAACTATGGCCACATTCTTCTATGCTCCAGCTATATACATCTACCTTAAGCCCAACTCCAGCTACTCCCCTGAATGTGACAAGCAAATTGCGCTCTTCTATAATGTTTTCAGGGTTCTGCTCAATCCTGTTATCTATAGTCTGAGGAACAAGGACATCAAGGGAGCTTTTCTCAAGGTGATGGGGGGTGCTAGCGGGGGCAGTTGAACTGGGATGGACAAGAGGGCTTTGGTAGAATGTTTAATGCTTAGGA